AGTTAGTTAGAGCAATTTTATAAAAGTAAGCTTGAACTTTCGATTATGTCAAAACAAATTTCTGATTCTGGAGCTGCCAAAGGATTTATAAAGCGAAAGTATGTTTCGATGTCCATCAAACAAAAAGTGGAATTGCTGCAAAAAATGGATAAAGCCATATCCCTTGTTTCTCTAACCATTCCAAAATCTTTTTATCAAATTCACGCTGCTTTGCGGGGAGGGGGAAGTCACGGCGCACAATGGACTGGCAATTGATCTATCAGCACTATCCTCATCTTCAGGGCAGATATTTTATTTGGCTTATAATTCCTTACTAAATGTAGTATTTCATCTCTATGTACTCCGTCTTTGATATGATTTAAATGAATTTCCTCATCATTTTAAATATCACGAATACACATCAAATAGTTTTCTGGTTGCAATTTTCTAATTTCGACTATGCGTGATGTATGCTGTGCACATGCGCGCATTGAAAGAAATGTTTACTAAAGTAAACAAATAAATATTAACCTTTTTTTTTGTAAATTTTGTTACCCTTTAGATCATAATTGCTCTTTATTTCATAAATTACGGTTTCATATTTTTAATTTTATAATTTCTGCATGCCATCTGACTAGATTTAAATTGCTGATCTATAATCCGGAATCGCCGAAGTCCCTATGAGTCCGGATTAAAGACTTTTGACTGTATTCTCTTATTACAAATAAAGATACAGTTTTATTGCACACAGTACTACAAAAATAAATAATTTCCCATTTATCTTGAAAAACATGACCTTCTTTTGTCACTTGTTTTCATCTTCTGCTAAAGACATAGCTTGCAATTTAATAATTAAAATCATAGTTATAATTTTTTTTTACAATTTTAATTCAACAAGATGAATTTTCATATAATTGTTAATTTTTTGCAATGCTGAAAAAGAGCATTCTGCTAAAGCAGTTGAAGATAGTACTAATAGAATAATTGAAAATAATTTGTAAATTCACTCATAATGCTATTGTTATTTATATATGTTACTAGTTCAGATACAGGTTTAAATGTCGCAGAAAAATAGAAAGCATTCAACTCGTTTTTAAGCTTTACAAAATCAAGCAGTCTGCAGTATGGACTAGTACTTCATTGCCTGATTTCATTTTTGTTAATGAATATCTTTTTCTTGACAATTCATTTATGTCTAGTGTGTTGACATTTTCCTGTACTGCCTCAAAGTCATTTCTCTGAGATGTAAGCACATGTTGAAATTTTGCGATCTCTTTTTTACAGCACGCAGTGTTAAGAATTTTCTTTTGTAAAATCACAAAAAATATATCTGAGTGCAAAATATCATTGAAAATACTTCTAGGAGAAAACAGTTTTTACATTCAGCCAAAATTATAATGAATTCATGCAATTTATATAGGTTAAGTTAGGTTATTCAAATATGACAAAGCCAGAAGGATTATTTTCTTAGTGCCTTCATGGAGGCCTTCATTCAGTGCCTTCATAGAGGACTTCCAAATGGAAACTAGCTCACAGTCGCCTTACACAAGGTAGACACTACAAACAATAACCTTGAAGCCAGTCCATTCACTTGGGATCGAATACAATCCAGGTCAAACTACCAGTATTCAGTGGTCTTACCACTCGCCACTGATGGGGTGCAGTTTGTGTTACCCTCTATTTATTGAATCTATAGACTCTTCATGGCTTGTTTTTGCTAAGACATATACACAATCTATCAAACATTTTAAAATTTTCCCCCTTTTTTATTATACCTTTGTTGTGAAGTTTTATAGATGTTTTTTCTATACATATAGCTAGATTAGAGGTTAAATGGTTTTTAAATTAGATTTTGTATTAAGAATGGCAAACAATGTGTCTCTTTTCCACTTTTCACCATTCTGGATTTTTTTTAATTAACTGTTACAACTTTAAAACAGTGTTTTATGGGAATTCAGAGAAGCCTAGAAATAAAAAATTAACAAAACTTATATCAAATATTCATTATGTTGTGGTTAAGCAAAAAAAAAAAAAAAAAAATTTACTAGTTAGCTAAAATGCAATGATAAATTGCACTTACTGTCACTCTCTTCTCTGTAGGTACAAAGCTACCGCATATGCAAGAGTCAAAGTTTTTGGCTTCTGATTGACAAAGTGTTTACCCTTTCATTTCCCAGCATAGTTTCCAAGATTTTAAAAGTACATGCAAATTTTCTGATTGTGGTGAAATTTTCTGACATTATTGCTGTCCAAGCAACAGCATACAAAGCTTTCTTGAAAGGGAAGAAAGTCCTCAAGGAAAAAGTGCCCATGCAATACTTAGCTTGTGTTAAATTATTTCATGATTAATGTCATAAATTTGTTTATTTCTTCTTTATTCTGTCGCTACTAAGTGTTGAAAAGGCACCAAAAGAACAACCTTTTTTATTTAATATGATAACTACTAACCGACTAATATTTTTGCATTGTGTATGTCGATTCAGATTTCTAGAAATAATATTCTCCCTAGTCCAAAAGTATAATACATTATCATATGAAACTTTGAAAATAGTTATAATTGAGCTTAAAATTAAATATGCAGTTCAGCATAAACCTCAAAATGTAAATATTGCCTTTAGTGTACTAAAAAAGGGTGATAAATTGTTCTAAATTCAAAGGTAAACTATGAATATGCTGTCCCTGTAGTTGTGACACAACAGCTGGTTAGACTGTGAAATTTATCCAATCCCTTTCATTATGGGTGGAAAAATTAGGAAGGGAGACATTTACTTTGACTCTTATAAAAAATTTTTTAGTTGAAGGTTGACAGTCTTCAGCAAGCACAATCATTTTATGATGATGGATGAGCAACTTGTTTCATTTTGAATATCTGACTATAAATTTAGGAACTCGATGCACTGCTGTAGATAAAATATAGTATAAAGGGTTATATTATATGATAGATTTAAGCAATATTTCTTTTTTCTCCATTTTAAATTTAAAGGTATGTGTCATATACAATGGCTCTCAAAAGTGTTCGTACACTTATGATTTTCATTGAAATAGGGCTCTATCCATTAATTAAAAATAAATTTTCTGAATGAGATTTTAATAATAAGATCTATAATCTATTCGTAACAAAATTACATAAAATATTTTTAAGAAATTAATAATCAAACAATGACAAACATTTTATCTCACAAAAGTCTTTGTACACTTCAAAAAAATCTTGATGTATTAGTAAATATTTTCATTTTGCATTAAATTAATATTTAGTAGGATATCCTTTAGCATCCACAACAGCTTTTAAACGTCTGGGAATAGATTTTACTAGTTTTTTAGTAATTTCTGTATCAATGTTCATCCATTCTTCTATCATGATTGTTTTGAGTTCGCTTTTCGGTTTGATGTCATGTTTTCGTACTTTAACCTCCAGTTCTTTCCAAATGTGTTCTATGGGGTTTAAATCTGGTGAATGAGATGGTGTTTTCAAAACTGTGGACAATTATAGAGATACCACAGGAGAATGTTGAGAGCCGTATGCTTAGGATTGTTATCATGATTAAAAATAAAGTTGATTTCAATACCCAAATTTTGGGCTGATAATTTTAAACCATCTCTTAAAATATTTAAATAAAGAGAATGATTCATTATGCCAAAAATAAATATCATATTACCTAGTCCTGACGCTGCCATACACCCCCACACAAAATCACCTCCACCGCCATGCTTAACTGTTCCAACTAAGTTCTTAGAATGAAGTTCCTCATTTTTTCTTCTCCATACAGTTATTCGACCATCGGAACCAAAAATGTTAAATTTGCTTTCATGAGCAAATAAGGCATTATTCCAGTACGTTTCGGGTGTATTTATCATTGATTTTGCGAATGAAAGCCTAAGCCTTCTGTTTTTCTCAATAACAAAAAATTTTTTACGGGCAGAATGCCCGTGTAATCCAGCTTCTCTGAGAACTCATCGAACAGTTTCAGGTGAAATTGAAGCAAAAAACTTTGCATTAAATTCTGCAGAAACTTTTACAGCACTCAAACGTGGGTTTTTCACAAATTTTCTAATAATGAATCTCTCATCACGTTTAGTTAACTTTCTCGGTCTACCTTTACTTACCTTGTTTTCAATCCGATTTTCTTCTTTAAAGCGTTTTATCACATAATGCACTGTAGAATGAGATAAATTAACTAATTTAGCGATATTTTGAATTGATTTACCAATACTATGGTGAAAAATTATCAATTTTCGAATGCTGTTTGTAATTTCCTTACGACTGCGACCCATTTTTCAATAATAAATAGAATATTATGAAGCAAACAATAAAAAATTAAAGCAAACAATAATTCTAATTTTGATTTTATCCAAAAATATTTAAGTGTATGAAGATTTTGGAGAGATAAAATGTTCTTCATTTTTTTATTATTAATTTCTTAAAAATAAAATTTCGCTATATTTTAAACATATTTCATGTAATTTTGTTATGAATAGATTATAGATCTTATTATTAAAATCTCATTCAGAAAGTTTACTTTTAATTAATGGATAGGGCCCTATTTCAAAGAAAATCATAAGTGTACGAACACTTTTGGGAGTCACTGTACCTCTATGTGATATCTCTGAGTCAATCCTGATATTCACTTAATGTTGATAAATCTTGAGAATAAAAATATTTTGTTAGAAATTTTGAATTTTTAAAGCCTGTTTGTTATAGCTTCCTTTAAGCAGTGATTATATATATTTTAAGATTTACTGACTGTCTATAAATATACAGACAGCCAGATTCTAGGAGAATATATTTTTAATGGTGTAATTTATTTTTAAAATTGAAACTATTTTTCATTCTATTTGTTTTATACATCAAATAGAAATATCTTTTATGTGTTGCATGAGTACTTTTATTGCAGATAGTTATGTTTTATTTTTAATTAATTAAAAAACTGTTTTGAGATATAGTTATTCATAGATGTTCTAAATTTTCTAAACAGTCTGTATAAAATCAGTTTAAGTTATCACTCTTTAACTTTTCTGTCTAGCTGCCCAGAAGGTTTTGTTGGTTTGCGATGTGAAACTGGTCAGCCTGCAACTTTACCCAAATCAAAAGAAAGCTCTGCTTTTACAGCTGAAAGTAAGTTCTTGGAATTTATTTTATTTATTACTCATGTATGTAAGAATATATAATATAAAAACATTCTTGAATTTTTGTTTTGTTTATTTATATATCGTAGGCATATATGAGTAAATAATTGCCATTTATTAAATTTTCAATTTCAATTTTTTTTTTCCGCATATTACATTTCAAAGATGCAAGTTCATATGAGCTTCCAGATATGAAGTTGAAATAAAAAAAAATCTGATGTGTATACCACATGACTTCCTTGTACGGAATATTAAATTATATGCCTTTTTTCTTGCATATCATTTAAACTTATTGGATTGAATTAAATCTACTTAGTGACAGTTTATAAACCACAATAGAATAAATGCATTCTTTAAAATTCACTCTAGTATTATTTGTTTACCATAGCGACACTCTGGTGCTAGATTCACTTAACAGTATTAATAATTATATAACAGTTAACTTATATAATATATATATATATATCGGAAACTAAGTTAACTGCTATATAATCCAATAATTATATAACAGTTAACTTATATATTTCGTTCATATTATAACTCATAATGCACAAAATTTATATCATTTAAAGAATAGAATTATCTAATCGTTGCCACATGTTCTATTCAAATACTATAACAAAACTATGATGTATAAAAGAAATTAAGCAAACAAAACAAAAAAGAAACAGTTTTTCACAGACGATTGAGTATTTCTCATTTAATTAATTCAATTCTCACTTTGCGAGAAGACAAAAATACATAAAAACTCAAAATATCTATATTAAAAATTACGAAGTAAATCTTAAACACTTATTTCCTCGAAAAAATTCCAGAAAGAATTAAGCATGATTTAATTGGCAATAATAAATGAATGCGTTATCTTTGTTGTTGCGAAGCTAAGTTTCTCTAGATTGGAAACAAATCCACTAGTCTCCTGTTTCAAATGTAAACATCAATGGCCGCCATAAAAAAAAGGCTTAGTGGCACTTAGACAACTTTAAAATTGTTGATACGTCTAAAAATATTGCATACAGATTTACCAAAGGCATAAAAACCTTAACCAGAAGATAAAAACAACATATTACAATAATTTTTAAAGCAAAAAATGTACAATTTACAAACATATAAGAGTAAAGAAACTGAGATCACCGAGCCGGGTAACAGAGTGATGTATATATAAATATATTTATGTATGTTTGGTGCGGCTAATTGCAACCAAAATACGAGGTGCACATCTACATGTTATAGCAGTCCTATATACAAAATTTCAACGTTCTGAGACTACTCGTTTTTGAGTTATGCGAGATACGTTCGTACAGACGCCACGAAAAATTCTCTTCAGAATTATTTTAAAGCAGTTTTATAATTTTTTTGAAGGAAAGGAGTATTTTATTCTGTCCTTACGTACAGATATCATGCAAAAACATTGTTAAATTGCATTCGATAGCAGTCAAAATGGATATTTTCGTTGAAATATGCTGCCTGAAACTTTTCGCAATTACAATTCTTCCTTTTTACTTCGTACAAGGAAGTAAAAAGAGTTTACTATCTAAATTATTTAATTATGTGTAATATATCCTCAAAATTTGGGTTTCTTGTTTGTTTTATGAGCTTTTAAACACATAATATATTTTGATTGTATTTTTTTAAATATTACAAATTAATTATGAAGTTTAAGTATGCTTATGTTAACTATTTTAAGTGATATTAATATATCAGCTGTCAATTTATGTAAAAGAAGTTAAAATTATCAAATTGTATTATTTTAATTTAGTGTATTATTTTTAATGTAAATAATCTTATTAGTTAGTTAGAATTCCAGGAGAAAGAAAACTGTTATATTTCAACTATCTGAAAGTTTGTTAAATTTTTTTCAGTGGTTGCTGCTATAGGAATACCAGTTTGTACAGTTTTACTGTTGTTGTTGCTTATTTCTTTTGCTGTTGTTATTTACTGCAGAAGAAAAAGGTATGCTTTGCTTGTTGTTAAAATATTTCACCATTTTTTTAATGTTTTCATTTTATCCATAAATGATGACTTCCATTTCGGTCATACGCAAATAATTTATGATTTCATGATTTTTCTCTGTTTAGGGGTTTACCTTTTATGCATGTTCGTATGCAAGATTCTGCTAATGTGGAAATTAACAATCCAATGTATCTCAAAGAAGACTTCGATTATGAAGCTAGTGAAGCACTTAATGGTTCTGTGTCTCAAGAAACTGATGAGGTATGTATTTTAAAATTTTTTCTGAAATGGTCAAATTATTTAGAGAGTAAAAAACTGAGCAATATAAGTTCATGTGAAATGCATATTTATTGTAAAGAGCAAATTTATATTAGATGAGATTAAGTGAGTATAAAAATCATGTGTTTGTAATTGTCAGCAAAAACTATGGAGTACTGAAAATCCCTTTTCTTTGTTGTACTTGATCAAATAGGATTTTTCTTTAAGTTATGCATACTAAGTGACGTTGTCTAAATACATTCATTATGCAAAAAAGGGGAGGGGGCAAAATAAGAAGCCTGTCCATGTGGTATTAAGATTTTTCATTTGTCTTCCACTATAAAACAGGGCATTTTATGATTGCATCTGGAGTAGTGTCATGCTTACGCCATGGACAGGTATGAAATAGTAGCATATCTGCTTTAATTATTTATTTCTACCTTAGGGCAGATGATTATCACATTTGCATTTAATGAAGACTTGGTCAGTATTTTCATTTGCAGCTGAGTGTCAAGTGACACACATTACTGTGATTCCTAATATAATGATGTGAGGAGCTATCTTATACAACTGAAATTTTTAAGTAGTTATAGTGAAAGGTAGTTTTAATAGCATATAGATATTATTGCCAATATCTACATATTATAGATACACTGTTTTGCCAATATCTACATATTACCTAGACATCCAAAATAATATATTTTTCTGAAGGTTAAATATTATCAGTATAATATAGGTTTGCCATTCACCCTTATCTGAGCTTCTATCTATAAGAGAGATTGTCTACTAATTTCTTTAAACATCTTCAGGTATTGTGCACTATTTCTTCTGCAGGATAATGAATAGCTTTGTGTTGGAAAATTTGTTCTGGCCTACAACAGGTACTCAATTCACCATCTTATCGGATTGGTTGAGGATAGGACATTGAGCTCCCCAGTAGAATTTGTTCACTCAAGTGTAAACTTAGCTATATGAGTAGGTGTGTTATATATGAGTGGGTGTGCTATAAAAAAATGTTGCTATAAGAAGAGGCTGAACAGAATTATTTCCTATTGCTTAACATCCTCAGTGTTCAAATTCAGACTCAAAATCTAAGATACCAAAATAAAATTTAAAAAAAATAGGCTCACATAAGAATTTTTCCTACCCCAAACTTCTTAGCAGAGAAAATACACTCTGTTAACTAGGCCCAAACATTTACCCTAGCAGCTATCATATTCACTTGCATCCATCATATCTCCAAAGCATATAACATGATTTCTAACTCTGCAGAATGTTTTTCTGTTGTATTAGTGTTCAGTGTAATCATGCTGTGTAGAACCTTACACAGTTGCATTTGATGGATACTTTTTATTAACCCTCTGACTGCTAAATTTTTAGACCAAAATCTCTTCAAAAATTGTGTATTGTTTTTTCATATTTTATCATCAATTAAATCCATATATATTGGAGAATTGAAAAATTCAGTTTTCCTGTCTAGAAAATATTTTTTATATAGATTTTTATCATGAGAAACTAAGTTGACAAAAAAAAACCAGTTTCAGATGTTTTCACCAAAAAAAATTTTTTTTAATAGTTTTCAGTTGAATTACAGTTTATTTCTATTTATTGCATAATATAAAAAAGTAAAATGTATAAAATTTAAGAAAATATAAAGCACTGAGGAAAAAATACCTTAGAAAAGCAGTTTAGCATGATAGAATTCAAAACAGGGTTCAAGGCAAGGTCCAACTTCACAGTCTTTGCACCAGATTCAATAAATCTAATTAATAATTCAATAATTTAATTAAATAATCAAGATAATCGCTGAATGTTATCTAGCAGCCATTTCTGAAAAAAAGCGGCAAAAAGTGGAGTTTGAGCGGTAATACCACGTGCCTTCAAACGCCGCAATTTAGTGGACAACTAACGATATCTGTTAGCCAAAACGTAAATTAAACATCTAATACTGTATATAAGTTATTTTAGTGTTTAAACGTGGAAAAAACGGGATGCACTCCGCAATATAGGAAGAAAAACACATGCCCGCGGAAATCGCCGGATGAGCAGAATTTGCTACATTTGAGTTGCCCATGGAAATCGCGGGATGAGCAGCCAGAGGGTTAATGATCATTGACTTGTGTGTTGCAGATCAGTCACAGAACTCAAGCACAAATACTTTTCGACAACTACTAATTTCTCAGAGCAGTCAGAGGCCTCAACTAGAGTAGTTTCTAATAAGGGCATATCAGTCTTAATGACACTTCAGAGGCATCTAAGCTTGGAGTTTTAGTTTACGTAACCCCTACTTTTCCATTTAGCTAATATATCGGTGGTTATTGCTATATAATGAAGTGACTGTTGCACCTGAAACTTGCCAGAAATCTCATGGAGTGAATGACCAAATCAGTGAAAATTGATTATCATGCCAGTTTGAGCTTCATTCAGCTTATGTTGTGCAATCTGGGAGCACAACTATTGTAAGCTTTCAATCCTTTTATTGGCTCATGATGTCCATTGATGATATGTAACCGACTAGTATTCTATTTACATTCTAGTAAGTGTTCAGTCATCAGTATCAATATGTGTCCAGAATATTCTAAACATCTTGCAGCGCCATTCATGTTCATATTCCAGGAAATATTTTCAATATAATACTATCAAGCTACTTACAGTTTGTGTAGAATGGATCCATTGTGTTTATACCCTCCTGTAGAATGTAGCTTTATTTGATATTTGAAAATATGTGAATACCAGGGTTGTTTCTTCTGTAGGTCATTAATTATTTATTGTTATGCTAGAAAGAGAATAATATTTTTATTACATTTAACAGTAATTAAACAATTAAGAAAATTAAGCCCTTTATTTCCATAAAAATAATATACAAAACATAAATCTTTGGCAATATTGAAATATAAAATTATTTTTTATTTGTCTAGACACACAGATTTTTATTTCAATTGAATTCAACAAAGAAGAATGAAAAGATAATTTTTATGTCTTGTATACAGAGACATAAAACATGTAAGAAATAATATGTCCGTCACCAGAAGAGGAGGAAGAAGGGATACAAATATTATATTTCATGTTAAAGCATGAAAGAAAAATAAATGATTTCTGTCAGATGTCTTTAACAGGAAAACTGCATAACAGAATAATTAGAAATGTAAAGAAAGCTGAAATCATTATGTAGATCTTTGCTGTCTGTAGTGCTGAAGCTGAACAAGATTCTCCATGAATAGTATTTTTGTTACATGAGCTTTCACTTTTCAACATATTTCAGTTTTAACGGCAATCTTCTTGGATAAGAAATCTTTAAGGAAGTTTAATTCTAAATATTTTGTAAAAACTGTTTAAAAATTTATGATGGGGATACCACATCACTTCCTCTAACAGCCTATTAAATTATACTATTTTTATTGCTTCACTTCATTTAAACTTATTTCTGGATTTCGCATCCAGGATAGTGGTTAGCGATGCTGACTGCCATACCTGGGTTTAGATCCCAGAGAAGGCATGGATGTTTGAAAATGTGTAGTGTCTGTGTGGCAAGGGGGCAGTCAAAATATGCGATGACCTGAAAGTCCTCTCAAGAGGTGGGGAGTAGAATAGGGTGGGAGACCCTAAGACCCATCACCCAGGGGTGCTGTCCATCAAAATTGGGTCCGGAACTGAGCAAAAGTTATACTGTCAACTGTATGTGCTCAAGTTTCTTGCCAATGACAGGTGCAGTCTTGCATTCCTTGCCACAATGAATTTCGTGGCCTGTTCTGATATTACTGTGAGATAAGTCACAACAACAACAAGCTAATTTCCTCAAAATATTCTAACTTAATTAACTGATCCCGTAGGGCAAGTTGAGAATGACATCAAAAATTGCAACTTTTAAAATTTAATATGCTGGTCAATTTTTATCACACAGGTGTCAAACTTCTTACGATTTTATTTTTTCATAACAAGTATAAAACTTTCCAAAATATAAGCATAGAAACTGAGAGTCTGCATTAAATGTTAAATTTTATTAATTGTCAATTTTTTTTTTTAAATTTGAAATTGCCCAAAGATGAAAATTTTCATCATTTAAAACACTTCTTAATTTGAAGTATATGTCTACAAACAATATTGCAAAAAAAAACGGCCAGGTAAGTGGTAGGTTATTATATATATATACACTCATGTCCATAAATTAAGGATAATTCGGAGTCACGCGGAAATCGAACTCTAAAATAAATATATCACCTGTAAAATCACTACACACATCTTCAAGAATCATTATGCAAATTTCAGGAAGTAACCAGATGACACCGATGGTACACCACAATGACGAGAATGTAAGAGAGTGATATATAAGGAATACAGGCAAAGAAGTAAAATTCTTCGCAGGTGCTTTATAAGCATTTCAGTGCAATAACTGAATAGTTATGACACAAAGGACACATTTGGATGATTTTTTATGTGGTAGAAATATCGGCCGTCTGGAATGTGGGCGTACCCAACTGGAAGTATCAGACGAACTTGGAATTGCCCAGAGTGTCATTTCCAGGCATTGGCAACGATTCCAAGATGATGGTAATGTGAGTAGACGTTACAGCACAGGTCGTCCCCAGAGTTACAACGCCGAATGAGGACCGGAATTTGGCAGTTACTGCCAAAAAAAACAGGCGGAGCACAGCCTCAGACCTGTCTTGTCAGCTCTCTTCAGCCACTGGTACGACAATTTCAAGGCAGACCGTGTACAGACGCTTAGGGCAGATTGGTCTACATGCTCGTAGACCTGTCAGATGCGTTCCACTTACTGCAAATGTTGCCTGCAGTTAGCCTAGAGTAGAGAGCATGCATTGTGGACACTGCAAAAGTGGGCTTGTGTGATGTTTTCCAACGAGTCCAGGTTTAGCTTGCAGTCTGATTTTTGCCGGGCTTTCGTATGGAGAGTTCCAGGTACCCGTTACCACCAAGAAAAGATCATTGAATGACACCGTTACGGTGGTGCAGGAGTGCTCGTTTGGGGTGGAATTATTCTGGGT